AAAAAAAATAAAAAATTTTATTTTTTTTTTTTTTTTTTTTTTTTTTTTGTTTTCTTTTCTAAATAAAAAGTATGATATCCTAAATAATAAATTTAAAGGCCTTTAATACCATTTTATTAAAGTATATTAAAGGTATAAATATTTTGTACATTTTGAATTCTTTCATAAATAGATTTTAAAAAAAATAAATATGAAAAAAAAAACTATAGTTTCTAGTTGTTGTATTAATGAAATGTTGACATATATATATTGTTTTTTTATTATAAATATAATAAAATAATATATATTTAATTTTTTTATTTGAATCCTAATAACTTTTTTTTCTTTGTGCGATTTGATAAGATTATTATTATTCTATTTATTAATTTTTTTTTTTTTCTGTTTTTTTTTAAGTTTCCTTTTTTTTTTTTTTTTTTTTATTAATTACATTTTCTCTTTTCACATGATTAGATATATTTATTTATTTATTTTCCTTTTTTTAAATATAAAAATGTCGTCCGCAAATGTATATTCTATTATATTACCAACATATAATGAGAAAGAGAATTTGCCTTACATAATTTATATGATTATAAATGAAATGAAAAAAAAAATGATAGATTTTGAAATAATATTAGTGGATGATAATAGTGAAGATAAGACAGCTAATGTTTATAAAAAACTTCAGACAATCTTTAAAGAAGAGAAATTATTATTAATTGAAAGAAAAGGAAAACTAGGTTTAGGTTCGGCCTATATAGATGCTTTAAAAATTGTATCAGGAAATTTTGTTATCATAATGGATGCTGATTTATCTCATCATCCTAAATATATAAATGATTTTATAGAAAAACAAAAAGAAACAAATTGTGATATTGTAACAGGATCTAGGTATAATAAATATGGAGGTATATCTGGATGGAGTTTCAAAAGGGTTTTAATTAGTCGTGTAGCAAATTTTTTGTCTCAATTTCTTTTGTTTATTAATTTAAGTGATCTAACTGGTTCATTCAGATTATATAGAACTGAAACACTAAAAGAAATTATTGAAAAAATTGAAGGAAAAGGTTATTTATTTCAAATGGAAGTTATTGTAAGAGCAAACAAATTAAACAAAAAAATTGAAGAAGTTGGTTATGTATTTGTTGATAGGTTATTCGGAAAATCAAAATTAAGTTCATATGATATTTTTCAATTTTTCTTTGGATTATTAAAACTATTTTGGAGTATTTAAAAAAAAAAAAAAATGTCTAAAACTTTTTTCTTTGATATTTGAATATAAAAAAAATTATTTTAACTACGGTAATATAAGTATAATTTTACATGAATATTATGTCTTTTTCTCATAACAATAAAAAAAAAAAAAAAAAAAAAAGACATAATTTTTTTCTTTTATACATTTATTCTTTTATTTTTTTTCTCTTCATCAAGTAATTTTTAATTAAAGTTTTTTTGTAAAATAACTCTTTAACTTTTTTCGTGGTAACTTTTTTATAAATTTCCTAATATTTATTTTTTTTTTTTTTCTAATTTATTATGCCTTTCTTTGAAATCCTTTATATCTTAATATAATATGTGGTTTCTCCTTTAAAAAAGTAATTTAATAGAAATGTAATATTTAGAAAAGGAACATTAAGATTAATATTATATCCTTTTATTTTAAGAAATATACCTTAAGATAATTATCAACAGAATAGCTTTTTCTAGTATAATTTATATATTTGAATCTATTTATCATTAGAAAAACTTGAAGAAAAAAAGGAATATGTAAATATATTCTTTTTATTTTTTTTATTTTTATATAAATTTTTTTTTTTTATCTTGCAACCTTTCTCTTCCCTAAAAAAAAAAAAAAAAAAAAATCTCAAATTATTAATTTTATTAGGTTAAATATTATTATGTATAACCTCTTATTCAATTTTTTATATCAACCTTTCTTTATTATTCTTATCTTTATATAAATCTTTATATAAAAAGGAAATAGACAAGTAAATATTATTCTTTTAATAAATTTATCTTTTTTTTTTTTTTTTTAAGTAAAAAAAAAAAATTACCATTTATATCATTTACATTTATCTAAAATTATCAACAATAATTACTATTTATAAAACAAGAAAATTTTTAATAGATTATTATTTGTAATTATTTGTACTTTTTTATTAATCTTTTCATTTTTATTTTTTAATATAATTGATTTCATTATATCTGTTGCGAAACCTCCTCTCCCTTCTTTATTTAGGAAATTGAGAGTTATTTAAAAAAAAAAAAATGAATGAAAAACAAATACATTAAAAGAAATATTAATAGTAATTAGAAGTAACACCAAAAATTCAAAAATATGTGATGATAATATGAGAAAAGAAAATTTATGAATTATATATTTGTATAAATGTCTCATATATTCTTTTTTCTATTTTTATAAATATAGAAAGATATTTACTGGCTTGAATATGTGGATATGAAAATACGAAATTTGAAGGAGCTAATCCCAAACCATAATTTTTTAACGTTAATATTTTATTTTTATCTTTTATAATATCCCTAAAAATGTTAATGGGTTACTTTTTATATACATATTATTTTTATTATTTTTTTTTATAATATTATACATATAATTTTTTGCTGGATCTAAATATATTTCTTTATGGTTATTTATTAAATTATCATCTATATGAAAAGAAAGATATAAAGTAATTCACAATATCTACTAAACATTTTTTTCTTCATTAAATTTAATACCCTCTCTATTAATACTTTCTGAAAGAATTAATTTTTATTAAAGTAGAATTTACACACGTTTTTATATATGTATTTATTTTATGTATATAAAAATAATAATAAAATACTTAATTCATCCATATATAATTTTTTTCTTGCTTCTAATAACATAGTCTTCGTTTTAATGCCTTCATAAATTCTAGTTTTTCTTGTTTCATCTGGTTCTAACAAAAATAAGAAAGAAAAAAAAGTTTTCTTTTAGACGTAAGTATGTTTATATCATATTTGACTTATTACCCATTTATTTTTTTTTTTAAAATTTAATAAAACTTTTTAATTTTTATTAAATTAATAACCATATTTATTATTTAGTACATCTCCCATATTCCGTGTTTCTTCAATTTTTTTTACGCATGTATTAATAAGAAATGGAAATTTTTCCTCATATGAGTAGTAACTTTCACTAATGTCTTCTTTTAACTTATTCTTTTAAAAAAAAAAGAATATATATACTATTTTATATTTATTATATAATAATATGTTAATTATACATGTATATGTAGTAATCACTTTTTATAAATACTTTTCTTTCATTAAAAATATCCCTTTGTGTTCTATTATCTTAAAATAAAATTATAGAAGTATTTTAAATATGAATACAATTAAATAATTAAAAAAATTTAACTTAAATTAGGAAGATAAGTTAAGATATCCTTCATATTCTCTCTTTTTTCTATAACCAAAAAATTTTTTCAAATAGTATTTCAAATTCTTTATATATTTTAATATTTATTTAGAAAATATTATTTATTTTTTTAGATATACTTATATAATACACATCTTGGTTTATATTATTATTTAAGTTTTTTTTTCCATCATTATCACTTTCTTTTAAATGAGGAAATTTTAGTAAATCCTTCTTTTTTTCATAATCATTAAAAAAAGGTATCTTTCTTATATATTCTCCCATTTACTCTAATATATGTTCCTTTTTGTTTTATCTATATATTTCAATATTATTTTGTCTAAATATTTCAATATTATTTTATCAATATATTTCAATATTATTTTATTTATATATTTCAATATTATTTTACCTAAATATTTAAATATTATTTTATTTATATATTTCAATATAAATGTGAATTAATTATATAAAAATAATTTATTACAATAATTTTTAATAATTTTTTTACAAAATTTTTTTTTTTTTTTTTTCAAGAGACAAAAAAAAAAAAGAAAAAAATGATTAAAAAAAAAAATTCAATGTAATAAAAAGAATAATAATTGAAAAAATTAAGTTTTCTTGTAATTAAAAAAGATAAACAAAAAAAAAAAAAAAAAAAAAAA